CTTGGACAGCTTCCTCCATCAACGAAACATCTAAAAAAAGAAAAAGATTTTGAAACACCACTATTAAAAATATTTTAAGCTAGTAGTCTTATGTATGTTCTAACAAAATTCAGTACTGGCTAAGCGTTTTCTTGATTTGAAACTTAAGACTTTCAGCTCTTTAAGACTTCAAAAATGTGGGAATAATGCATAGTAATCTTTCCTTCACTAAAATCTAATTTCAAGTTACTGAGTGTTTAATAAAACAAATAAATAATTTTAAAAACATTTCAGCATCCTACTCACTTTTTACATGGTCAGACATGGGGTCAAGACTATGCACAGCTCAAACCGTTAGTAAAAGTTAGTCTAGCTCAGTGATTCCCAAAATGGGTGGTACTGCTGTCCTGGGAGCAGTGGAAAGATCCAGAGGGATAAGGGGGCAACAGGGAGACAGTTAAAGTGGTCTCAGACTGGATTATTTCTGCAGTGTGTTTTAGACCTAAGATTGGTTGTTTTGAATTTACAAAACAGTAGACCAAATATTGAGAAATAGGTGTTGGAGATGGGGGGCACTAGGGTTGTCACCCATGAGGAAAGGGGTGGTAGCCTCCAAAAATTTGGGGACCACTGATCTTCTTGATCTAGTCTAGGGCTGAAGACAAAATTGTGCAGAAGAGAGAGAACTAGTAAACCAACAGTCCTACAGCAGTATTAAGCCTTAATGATACCTAGCACTGTCAACAAACACTATATGGAAGACCAGCATAAAACCAATCATTTTGAGTAAAGAGGGGTAGTTGGCAGTCTGACTCATGGTCAAAACACCAAATAAATAAATGGCTCAGATTCTCACCAACTGTGACAAGTACCAACAGTACTATATGAAAGTCTAAGTTCTACTGAGAGAACTACAGGTATAAGCAGGACCTGGGGAACGTACATCCGTCCAGCAAATCTTAAACTCCCACCAGACTGAATTAACATAACCAACTTTAATGGGTGATGGGAATTGTAGCCTAAAATTATTTTCAATCTACAGGTTCCCCACCAATAAGTAAATGACAATAAGTAAAATATGCCAATGAGTACATGAACTTATTTCATCTGTTCATTTCCATTAATGTTAAAGCACAACTGTAAAAGGACCAAGTACTACTGATCACAATTTATCTGCAAAATCAACTTCAAGGTAGATTAAGTAACAATGGTCTCATCCCAAAGGGACTGCTGCCATTTGGCCAGAAAGGCTTGTAACATACAAATGTTTTAAACATTTGAAATAGAATGTACCTGAGTTTATCCTCAACTGGAAGAGACCATGGTATATACCATACCTCCACTGTTCAGCTTCTGGGACAGGACATCCACTCTTTCCTGCAGTTTATCATACATGTTCACAATCTGAGTTACTGCCCGGCGGGAAGATTCTACACGTTCCTGCAGCTGGGATTCCATCTCTTCACTGGTGCTGCTGGCCAAGGTGGCCAGAAAGGAGAATGCAGGCTCAAATATCTCCCCTAGCAAGACAGTGCAAGAACAAGGCCATTGACAGCACACAGCACAAATTTCCCAAGAATCTTAAGGTGAAATCCACCTCCACCTCTTTGAGTTCATAAATATCTCATGATACAGGAGCAGCTCAAGCCATTTTGCAGTCTGACACACAAGAGCAAATGGCACCACCAAGGTTGCATGATGCCCGAAAACACATAAAGTATTTTGGTACAGAAGGCATAAAATGCCTTAAGCATTAATCCCCATCTCTGGCAAGAAAAATACAACAAAGTAAATTACTAACAACTTTTAAGAAACCCAAAATCTGCTACCTGAGGTGGCCACCTCATTCTCCCTAATGTTTTGATGCTTTAATATGGTAACTTATTTAATCATTTTAAATTCCTTTATTACTGTTATTAACTCATGTACCTCATCTTAATTCATGTTGTGAGCCACACTGAGTTCAATTTTGGAGAAAGAGGAGATATATACCTAATAAATAAATAATGGCATTTGTTGTTGTTAATGCGCCTTCAAGTCGCTTCTGATTTATAGTGATCTAAAGCAAACCTATCGGCAAGATTTGTTTTGAGAGGGTTTGCCTTTGCCTTCTTCTGAGGCTGAGAGTATGTCACTTGCCCATAGCCACATAGGGGGTTTCCATGGGCTAGCAGTGATTCAAACCCTGCTCTCCAGAGTCATAGTACAATGCTTAAACTACACCACTCTGGCTCTCAAATAAAAGTATATCACAAGAGAAAGTATATCCAGCCAGATTCAGAAGCCTCACCTCTCTCCCTCTCATCTTTGCGTTCCTGGTTACTGTCTGAATCAGGTTCAGGTTCTGGTACCACCAGGGCTTTACGTTCTGACAGGAGGTCTCCAAGGCCTTGGTCCAAGTCATAACGTTTCAAAATGATGCTGATGTTCTCATCAAACTGTAGGAAATGAACAAAGAGTCCTAGACTTACTTTTTAAGAAGACTGGAGTAAACAAAATTAAAGGAGTGGAACTTTATTTATACACTTATTAGTCACATTAATATCCCATCTTTCCTCCAAATAGCTCAAAGCTGTGTGCATGACTCTCCTGCCCATTTTACCTTCTCAACAACTCTGTGAGACAGGTCAGTCAGGCTCAGAGAGTATGGGGTGGAGCAAAAGGGCAGATTGGGGCCGCCCAGGTACTGCTCAGCCCAGTGCTGCAGCAACCACACGCCGTGGCCCCAATCTGCCCTGCACCCGCCCAAATACAAGTGGAAAGATCCACTCCTGTTTGGACTGGCTGTCTTAGGCAGTTCAGTCACAACTCCGGGACGGCTCCAGAAGTGTGAGGTGTATAAATGCCGTGCTCCTAGAGCATCTTGAAGCCGCCCATGTCTGGTCAGCCAAGGAGGCTTCCGAGCATCGTGGGGCCATACAGCATCTAAACGCCACACACCCAAGCCATGCAGAAGCCAGCTTTACCAGCTGGTCTGTTCTGGCCCTATGTGAGTGGTCCAAGGTACTCACTGAAGTTTCATGGATCTCTCAAGTCCCATTCCAATGCTCTCCAACTACCAACCCAGCTTTCAACTTCAAGAGGAAGTGAGCAACAGACCTGACTCCAGTAGCGATTGACAATCAGCAGTGAAGCATCATCAGTGGCCTGCCGTCGCTCCAGCTTCTCAATGTGTTCTCGCAGTTCATCCTCGATAGCTTGTCGCTGATCCAGCATCTCCGCTAGCTTTCGGTTCTTGGTCTGGAGGGTACGAATGTCTAATTCTTCCTGAAAATGTACCAATATAAACACAGGCTAAATTGCAGGTGTCATTCTCTCTAAGTTGGTAAACTAAGCTCTGGGCTACACACCAGACTATGGCAGGGGAGGGTAATCACTAAGGTACAAAGGATGATGATAGAGCAAAAAGAAATACCAACCGTTGAGGAGACACCCCCAAGCTTAATGGTCTCTACAGTAGTCCCAGAGTCCTCAACGCTGGCTTTCTTTTCTGGAAGTCCTGAGGGACTGGACTCCGCAGCCACCCGTTTGTTCCCAATCCCAGACATGATAGCTATGAGTGGAGAGTTCCACCTCTCCAACTTCTCCTAAAATAAAGAATACTTTGTTTGCTTTTTTCTGTATTTCATTCTACAGAAAAAGACCTTTAATGACTAGTAAAGGTGGGTAGGGGGACAAAAAAAGCAACAAAATTTGCACAAATTATATTGGACTTTTTACATGAAATAGAAAAAAACTACTCCCACTGCAGTTCTTGAATCCACAACGGGAACCTGGAAATCCCTGGTTGCTTACTTCATTTGTCTGCAGTTGTTTCTCAGGAATAGCAATTGCAAGAGACCAAGGCTTAAAAAGTATCATTTTCTTTGTAAAATCAAGAGGAATTTGGAAGAACACAATCAAATCTTAAGGCATAGACTCTGACCAGGTTGAATAAGCATAGAACATAACTGGCAAAACACATTGCACAGACCAAAACAGGGTTGTCATCCCTTTAATAAGGGTACTAATATTATTATTTAAGAATATTTTACTGCTCTGCAGAGGAGCGGGATATAAATAAATTTTATTATTATTATTATTATTTAAGAATATTTCTTAATATTATTATTATATTATTACTACTACTATTACTACTAACAATATTCTTAAATATTATATATTATACGCCGGGACCTTGTCCTGTGAAGCAAGGCTCAGCCAAAACAAAAAGTTATGGATCCTACAGTGTTTTCACATTGGGTGAATGAGATCTTGTTGACCTGAGCCTCAAGACAGAACATCTATTAGAAAAGACAACTTACTTGATTATTTATATAACATTTGGAAAAGATGTTTAGAAACTGAATATAGTAGCAGCTTGACATCCCATTCTTTCATTTTACCTTCCCTTTTTTCCTGCCTGTAGGCAGCCTGTGGAAATGTTGTTTTTCAAAGGAAAGAAAAGGAAAGAAAAGAAAAAGGTGTGTGACCCTCTAAATGTTGTTGGTCTGCAGCTCCCATCATCCTTCACCATTGGCTATGCTGGCCATGGCTGATGGGAGTTGCAGCTGAGCAACACTGGGGAGAGCCACCATTACCAACTAAGCTTAGCTCAAAAGATGTCTTCCTTTCCCTGAGTGGGAACCTTTGTTGTTGTTGTTTTCGTTGTTGTTGTCTGCCTTCAAGTCTTTTCCAATTATGGGGACCCTAAGGTCACACAGTATTCTTGGCAAGATTTCTTCCAAGGGGGTTTGCCATGGCCATCCTCTGAGGCTGAGAGAATATGACTTGCCCAAGGTCACCCAGTGGGTTTACATGGCTGAGCTGGGATTTGAAAACCCTGGTCTCCAGAGCCATAGTCCACCACTCAAACCACTACAACACACTGGCTCCTAAGGGAACTCTGCACATGCTTATTAGACAGTCTACCCACCATAGCATGTAAGTTGGCAACGACAGTCCAAGGGTGCATCTACACGGCATAAATCATGCAGTTTGACACCTCTTTAACCGCCACGGCTCCATCCTATGGAATCCTAAGGTTTGTAGTTTTGTGGTTCGAACACTGAACTATGATTCTGGAGACCAGAGTTCGAATCCCGGCTGGGCCATGGAAACCCACTGGGTGATCTTGGCCAAGTCCCACTCTCTCAGCCTCAGAGGATGGCAAAGGTAAAGCCCCTCTCAAGAATCTTGCCAGGAAAACCCAATGATAAGGTTGTCCTAAACTGGAAATGACTCGAAGGCACACAACAACAACAACAACAACAACAACAACAACAACAACAACAGAGGCACCCGCACTCTTTCATAGTGAAGACCTTGCAAAACTATAAATCCCAGGGTTCCACAGGATGGAGGTAGAACACTTAAAATGGTGTTGAGGTGAATTATTTCTGACAGAAGCTGCACTTGAGTTACAGAAATAATCCAAGCTGGCACCACTTTAACTGCCATGGCTCAGTGTTAGGAAACTCTGGGTTTTGTAGTTTTGAGAGACATTCAGCCTTCTCTGCCAGAGAGCTCTGGCGCCACAGCAAACTACAATTCCCAGGATCCCATAGCACTAAGCCAGGGCAGTTAAAGGGGCCTCAAACCGGATTATTTCTGCAGTGTAGATGCGGCCAGAGAAGGCTGAACGCCTCCCTAAACTACGGCTGCAGAATGGATGCAGCTGGAGACGGCTTTAACTGTCATGGCTCAATGCTATGGAATTCTGGGAACTGTAGTT